TAGAAATACTGACAAACCCCAATTTGACCGCGAATTCAGTTATTATAATTCCATTTACTCAATATGTTTGTGGCCAGTGAAAACAAAAGGATAAGATATAACTTATCAATGAAGATGTGATAAAGCTACTGCTATTGAAACACCCGACCAACCATGTAGATGGATGGAGGGATGACTTCTGAATAAGAATGCAGATATCTATGTTCAATATTCATGTTTGGGGATATTTTTAGCCATCAAGAGTTTAAGCCATGGATAAGTTGATATTTTAAGATATTAATGAGTGAAAATATACAATATATTAAAAAATAGTAAACTACTACTAATGAAGTTAGGTAACAAGTTTCAATTCTTGGTCTCACTAGGATATTTCTTGCTTTTAACCAGTTGCAATTTCAAGTCTGTTGTCCCCCCCCCTCCATCGCTTTCTCTCATACTATAGAACTCGTCCTCCCTCCCTCTCTATCTCCATCTCTTTCTCTCTCTGTGGCTGTGGCTGTGGCTGTGTCTGTCTCTGTCTCCATGGATGGAGATGCAGATTTGGATATTCAGTCCACCACTAATGGTGTATTGATAGAAAATACCTTTCTCTTGCCATTTACCAAGCACTATCAGTTACCTGTTAAAATAATGATAATTTAATTATTATAATCACAAATGAATATCTAATATGATAATACCAAAAATAAAAATGATATGATTTATGGGAATATACAAAACCTGTGCTGTATTTTTGTGTTCCCCTTCACCATTCTTATATAAAACCTAATAAACCTAGTCTTTGCCAATGCAAATCATGAAAATAAAGTTATTAGGCTAATTCCCCCCAAAAAATGAAAGTGCTTTTAGACAGTGCAGCTGGTATCCCACAATCTTGTCCAGGATTCTATTTCCACTATGAAGAACTTTCAAATATTAAGCTGGTAAGAATCAGAATGGCATAGTTGAAGATGTAAAGCAACACAACTATACCAGTCATATAAAAAAAAAAAACCTTGGTTGAATTAACACATATCAAAGTAAATGACAATGAAAACCTTGTAATATTAGTGTATAGAATATGCTTCTAAATAATGAGGTTAAAATGAATTGGCCAAATCAAATAGGTATTTGAGGCTGCTGAATCTAATCATAGCAATCTGTCCCACTGGTAAAATGGTTTTAGGTTGAGGTTTGGTGGGGTTGGAGTGCATTGCAACTTAGTTTAGGTTAGGTCCCATCCACATGATCAAATATTGCCCAATGTGCTTAACCACATGCCGCTGGGGAAAATACATAGAAAATGGGGAACATGTTCTGCTCATTTCTTATTTTTCTGTGAAATGTCTCTACACATAGATGGCTCTGCTAGTTTCTTAGCCACAAAGGAGTCAATTAGTAGACCTTGTGACCTTACCCAATTTCACCTTTCCTTGAATTGGCAGGAAAAACATATTTTTTACTGATGCTATGAATACTGATGGTGTTACTTTTACTATAGACATTATAATCACTATTATGTTATAAACATTAGTAACAGCAAAATAAGATAACGCAAAATATTTTCATAAATCAAGGAAAAGGATAAACAGGCGAGACAGGCAGTACTCGTAATTGGCTCATTTGTGACTTGGTACAGGTGTAGCCACCTACGTGCAAAAACAATTAATAAAGTAAATCCACAGTGTACATGCCATGCCTGTCAGGATTGGGTTAATACCCATTGTTTAGGCAAAATTTACAGGCAAACAGAGTGAAATCACCAGGCTGTCTGCCTGGTTCAATCATTTGCTGCACAGTATGGATAGAGGACCCTGTCAGACACCGGCATGTGTATGTATAAGATGACACGCTGGTTTGCCTAATAAATGGAAAAAGTTCATCAGGCACTGTCAATTGTGTGGACGCCCCAGGCCCTTAGGTTGCTATCTTATTATATACGTTCATAATCTAAAATGATTAATATAGATTATTTAAGAAACTAGTAAGTCATTTCCCTTAAATACTTTAAACCTGAGAGGGTTTTGTCCTACAGTGACAACTCCCAAGAATTTGATACTTAAGATGTAATACTGTCAGGATAGCAACCAGAAAGTATAACAAATAGGCTGATGATGTTCTTTTATTGTGTTAAACAAGAGAAAAGTGATGAGTAAAATAAATGAATTTGCTACTATTACAATGAAAGAGAAGCATAAAAAAAATCCCAGGGCAATGTGAATCTTTACGTATCACACTACATAACAATAGCTTCAACAAGATATACAGGAGCATGATAGCAAGTCTGAAAATGTGACCTTTCCAATAACACAATCACTGAGCATTTTACTAAACAAGTAAATACTTATGAATATTAAGATATATCAAATAGTCAGGCAGCCACAAGGCCTATCTATATTCCATTGTCAAATAATAAAACCTCAAGCAAAAAATAAGTTTATTTTATGATGTCATTGTGCTGAGGATATCTTAAAGATACAAGTTCTATGAAGAAAAAAGGAAAAGTCATAATTTTTTTTTT